GAAAAATACAAAAGTTGAAAAGAGTTTACTTTATGATATTACTCAAAGGCAAAATGGTCTTATGACATTCCGAAAGATTTTATTAACGTACTTTTCATGCATTGCATTCATGTACATTGACCCATGACCAAATGACGTTATATACGCGTATATATGTATGTATATATATGTATATGGGATATGGGAAAGGTTATGGCGTTATATACGCACCACCACTTGATTAACTGGTATACGTTGCTGATTTTGCCTATAATGGCCGATATGATATGATGGGATGCCCCCAGAGGCTGATGATGTTATGAAATATGTACCTATGCACGACATGACATTCATACGTATATGCATGATGCTAAAAGTAATTTATGATTTACAGAGTTATCCAGACTTACAAGTTGAGTCAATTACTTTATATTTCTTCCATGCCTGTTATGTACTTATTTATGTGCCTTACATACTCGGTATATTTTTCGTACTGACGTCTCTTTTGCCTGGGGACGCTGCGTTTCATGCTCGTAGGTCCAGATTGATAGGTCGAGAGCCCCCTCAAGTAGGCTATCAGCTCAGCGGAAGATGTTGGTGCGCTCCATTTGTTTTGGAGTTACGTGTTTGGTTAGTATGTTTTAGACGTGTATTGTTTGGTATGGCGAGATTCTGTCCCGAACTTTATGACATTTTTGTACTCTTAGAGGCTTGTAAATATATGTCGTGCACGTGAAAGATTGTACGGCCTTGTCGGCCTATATTTTGAGTTTATAAATGATCATGTTGGCCTATTAGGCCTGTATATCACGTGTATATGATGATGTAATAATAAAGATACGTTATATTGGTACTCGGTTGAGTAAGGTACCGGGTGCCCGTCGTGGCCCATCGGTTTGGGTCGTGACACCTAGTGTTTGATAAAATGCTCAAATGAGTTGAAACCATGAATATCTTCCTAATTTGTGTTCAATTTTGTTGTGTCTCAAAATAGATTGACATTGCCAGAATTTTTAAAATGTTGTCGTAATTTAAGGAAAGCTCAAAGCGAGGTATGTTGGCTAAACTACTCTCTTAGAATTGAATTCCATGATGTTCCCGTAAGTTTCAAGTATGGTTGTCTCAAGTTCCTTATTCTATGTTCCGAGTTGTTCCCAATAAATTCGATTGTCCCGAATAGGCAAAGTGTGGAGAATTATGTATTCAAACATGTTCCGTATGTTCCTATCACATTATGTTATCCTTTGGGAATGTGTTCAAGAATGATATGTGTATTAAAATGCTATGTCTTTGAGCCGTGTTTCAAATGAAGATTATGATGCCAAATTGTATGAGAAAATCTCAATATACTTAAGACTCTTAATTATTCATATGTGTACCTGAAGTCTTGATTGGAAATGTATTGTTGTTGATAATTTATAAAGATGCTTGAAAATGAAGTAAGTGAATTGGGGATAAAAAGTGTGGCCAACGTGCCAAGAATGAAAGTTATACTTGTGACTATTGGTGCCAATAGAATGAGATGATGTGAGAAAGATTATGATATGAGCTTTGATTCAATTGTTCCAAGTTGACTTTGAAAATAGAATTGCCTAAAAGCTTATGTACTTAAATGATGCCCATATGTGGCTGTTTAAACTAATGCTATGCTTTGTAGGTATTTTTGACGTGTTTTGTGCTCTTACATATTCGTGAGTTGAAATTGTGTATTGCCATTTTTGGTGAAAAGTATTTCAAGAATAAAGTATGTGTTACTTGTTTATGATTTTAACTTGTGCTTCGATTGCCAATCATTTTACGCAATTTCTTGGAAAGAAATCCATTGTGTTTAAAGCCTTTATTACTAATTAACCTAAAGTTATGATTTCGGAAATATTCTATTCGCTGATATTATGATGATGATCCATGAAAAGGAAGAAATAAAAGTGTGGAATATGAAATATAGCCATTGTGCTATGAATGAAGAATTATATGTATGACCAAGAGAGCCAATGAAATAATGATGTTGAAAGTGCCAATGAGGCTATATACAGTATGAAAGGTTATGAGGTAAATGCATTTGTATTTTTGTTTCCTTTGTAAGCAAATAAAAAATATTTTTGGGAGTATCGATAGTTGTCGAGGAAGAGTAGGTTGAAATAACCTAACCCCGAAACTACACATGTCGGTGTAGGAGTGGATTGTAATTATTCCCCCTTATTTGGAATGAGATTGCTGTGATAAAATTATTCCCCTTAATTGGGATGAGATGATTGATAGAAAAGGATGATGTCGATCCATATGGCGTTGTGGTGAGACGGCCTAGCAAATCGGGTCGTGATCGGATTCCGTGCTAAAAGTACGGTGGTATTGGTATTTTGAACGGTGGTATATCGGTGCTAAAGATATCTCAACCAAAAAAATAATATTATCTTCATATTTTGGAAATTATTATGTTTTAACTTGGAAATTGGATATCATTGATTGTTGATTGTTGTTTCCATGATTTTCCCTTTATGTTGACATTCTATTTTGAAAGAGGACATTTAGCTTTACATACAAATACTATTCCATATGTACTAACGTCCCTTTTTTGTCGGGGGCATTGCATCTTCAATGAATGCAGGTGGTTCCACAACAGACAGCATTGATCAGTGATAGTGGTACACTCTCTTCAGCTAACTTGGTTAGCCCCACTTCATTTTGGGGTCATATATCTCTTGTTTCTCATGTATTTTGTGTTTTGAGGTATAGTCGGGGCATTGTTGTCGGCATTTCTATATTACTCTTCAGTTGTACTTAGAGGCTCTGTAGATAGGTTGTGGGTGATTTTTGATATTGGGAATTGAATTAGAAATGTTAGTATTTGGCAAACATGTTTTTCTCATTAAATCTATAAAGTCGTACTATTTTGGAAATATTGAATGATGCTGTTATTGGGAATGAAATGGAAATGGTTAATGAAATCTTTAATGGAGTACATCTCCTCTTTATTCAGGGATGAATTTGAGTAGAATGAAATCTAACAGGCTTGCTCAGCCGAGTTTACTCGGTTGAACGTCGGTTGCGCTCCACGAGTTTGGGGCATGACAGTTTGATATCTTTTATCCATAGACGACTATTACTACCTAGAGTTTGACTGCATTCTTGGATTCGATCTTATTTCATCTTGTTGTTATTCCTACTTGTTGCAATTACCTTTTCTTTTCAGTCGTTCTCTAGCCGATGTTCTATTGAAAATAGCCTCTTTGCCCTTCCAAAGGTAGGGGTAAGGCCGCGTACATCTTACCCTCCGGCGAACTTTCTTCTCTTTTTTGCTATTTAGTCACATACAATGATACAAATATATTGTATTCAGTACAAATACACTCAAATACATTATATTTTTGTATAAATATATTAATTTTTGCTTGTATTTATGTATTCCAAAGGCCTGTATTTTTTTAATAAAGCCGAATATCACTATGTTTTGTGATTTTTTGTTGTTTTGAATAGAGTCGAATTGAATACAGAGAATTGAATACAATGTATATTAGTGAATATATGTGATTTGAATATAATGTATACAGTCGAATTGAATAGAACGATATACACTCTATTTTCTTGATTTTTTGTTGTTTGAATACAACTGAATTCAATATAGTGAAATTGAATACAATTCAATATTGCGCTTTCTGTTATTAAACACTCGCAATCACTATTTTTAGGCAGATTATCTCACTGTATTTATAAATACATTTGCGCGAATACATGAAATACATAATTAGACATCTGTAATCCATGTTTCTTACTTTATTGTATTTATAAATACAGTCGCGCGAATACATGGAATACAATGCAATAGCAGTGAAATTTATGTAGAATTGATTTTGTTGAGTTAAATTAGGAGTGATACACGCTAATTGATCCTTTTTTCATTATTAAACAGCTGGATCCTCCTATTTTTAGGATAATTCCGCAACTTGTATTCATGAATACAGTAGCGCGAGTATAGCGAATACAGTCGTGTACAAATGTATTCCCTTATTTTTAGGCAATTTTTGCTACTTTATTCATGAATACATTAGCGCGAATATATCGAATACATTCGCGTAATAACTGAATAGTAGCTATAAGAAATAATTATGTATATCGTAGCTATAGGAAGTTAATAACCACTAAACAATAGTGGTTTTTGAGAATTCTTCTTCATAAGTAGTATTAATTTTTCATATTATGTACCTAAATATAATTGTAGTTATCCATACTCAAGTGACAACTTTGATGCTCTAGTGACTAAGTACCCCTTTAGGTCAGGGGTTCGATCCCCATATAGTTCTTTTTAATTAATACATTTTATATATAATAAACAAACAAAATCCTAATTTTTCATCCCCTTTTTATTTAATATAATAGTATATTCATATTCTTAAAATTCTAGTTACGCCTCTCCAACCGATATCACTATAGAATTCGTTGTTACCTATGGATTGCAAAACTAACTTATTGGCGAATCGTGTGTCAATTTGTTTTTAAGTTGCTATATTTGTATCAATTTTTCACACAAACATAAATCAAAAGATTTATCAAGATAAACTTTGCATGAGAGGTAGGCAGGGGTGGATGTAGTATTGAGATAACGGATTCAATTGAACCCATAACTTTTAACGAAGAGTATAAAATTTAAGTGTAAAAGTTCACTAAAATTGTAAAAGTTTAAATGCTTGATCCGCCTATGAAACTAGGTCCAATGAATCGGGCTGGACTAAATTTTTTCCACTATATCTAGAATTGAAGCTTTCAACATGACAACCTATTGGGTCTAATATCCAAGATATAATTCTCTAATACGAAATACAGAAACAACATGGACTAAATTATAATAACAACAAATATTTGGGACCCTTTAATATGAAAATGTTTGTTGAAAAAGGAAGGGGAATTTTCTGCGAATTCTCGGACTAAGTTGTAAAAACTACAACAAACGGGGATGATAACGTGAAAATACATGTTGGAAAAAAAAAAAGGGAATTTCAGCGGCTTCTCGATTCTTCCAAGTCTTCTCCTTTCCACTTATAAATAATCAGGGGATCCCACGCCATATTTGCTGTCAAAAAACTTGTGTCCAAATTTCTACGTAACCTTAAGCTGACCCCATCTCCACCTTCAATCTGGTAAGCTTTCTTTTTCTCAGAAAGCCTGGGTTTTGATTTTTTGTTTTTTTTAAATGATTCGATCTTTCTTTTAATAATTTTGCATGTGTTTATGTTTTGTTTCCAGGTTCTTGTTCAGAGCAATTTATTGTTAGATCTTTGTTTGGCTGTTCCAGAATCGAGAATGAGTCATATCCTTACGATATGTTCCTTTTCTCTGATTTAAGATCACGCTAATATCGATCCAATTCTTTGTTTTGATGAACAAGATTCTCTTATCTTCTACTCCCTCTCCCTCTGTTCCAGTTTATGTGAACCTATTTCCTTTTTGGTCCGTTCCAAAAAGAATGAACCCTTTCTAAATTTGGTAATAATTTAGCTTAAAGTTGCATAACTTTAAGCTTTTATAACCACACAAATACTCCATTTGGACTTGTTTAGAATCACAAGTTCCAAACGGAGGGAGTATTCGATTGCCGAGAAATTGAGAAAAAATATCCAAAATTAAAGATTTTTTATTTAATTTTGTTGGGGTAATCTATTAAATTGGGAATCCCCTTTCGAGATATATCCTCAATTGGCTCGGTATCCAAAGAATTGGTTTAGTTAGGACCTAAAGATTGAATTTTTGTGGCTCAAAGAATGGCATTTTTGTTTCTGATTGTTGTCTGTTTTTGACTTAACTCAAGCTAACGCGGAAATCAGAGAGATAGAGATCGTGAAAGGGCACAAGCCAGGGCAGGTAGCAAACCCAAACAGCCCAAAGGTGATGGATTGACCCCTGAACAAAGACGAGAAAGGTTCTTTCTTTCCTCCTAAACAACCCTCAATTTCATTGTGTTTAGTACGACGGAAGTTAATGAAGTTATTTTTCGTGAAAATGCTTTTCCACGATATGTTTTTTTTTTTAAATAAAATTATTTTTCAACGTTTAATTGAGAGCTCAAAGAAAACTTACGTGGTAAATATTAAAAATTAATCCTAATATAATGTTTTGATGAAACTATTAGAATTTATAGTCTTTAAAAATGATTTTCCGCCATATATGAGACCAGTTTTTCTCCTTCTGAATGAAAAATATTTTGTAGAAAGTAAACTTCGTCGAATATATTGAAAAATAATTCCGTCCTACCAGACAAACTCTAGCTGTTTTTATCCATTGAAGCTAACGTGGGGTATTCTTGTTTATGATTTGAACAGAGACGCAAAGGCACTTCAAGAAAAAGCAGCAAGGAAAGCGGCGCAGGCTGCTGGTGGTGGAAATAACCAATCTGATAGTAAACTAATTAAGAAGAAATAGTAGAATTTAGCAAGGAAAGTTGTGTTGTTGATACAGGAGTAGGTATAAGGGAATCTTGTGGATGAATCAGGCGTGGTTTCTGGATATTGGAGGTCATTGTTGTTCATGTCACAGCAAAGTGTTTGAAATATTTGCTTCCATTTGTTCATGTCATTTGTCAAGTATTTGGAATATTCTACTTTAGTTTTGGCATGTATGGTCCTTAACTGTTTGTATCTGATTTGCAATGAAATTTCCTATTGTGATTAACTTACGCTAAGTGGTAACTACTGATATTAGTTTAGTTACTTAAATTTGGATGTTCCGTTAAATGCTAGTGTTTCTCTTGTGGTAGTCATATAGTTTATCACATTTACACCAAGTTGAGAACAGGATAGAATTTGAACTTTGAAGATTCCAGCTGTTGCTGAGGATATCATATGTAAAAGTTAATAATAAAGGATTGAAATTTTTCTCTTATGTAATAGTCTCTGTGAACTCACCTTTATTGCTCCTCAATAATCACAAACAAAAATTTAGGTAATTTTTGTAATTCTTATCTTCTTTTTTTTAATACAAATCAGTAATTTATTTGTTAGGAAGAACATTCATTTTTGCTGAAAAATTCATCTTTTTGCACTTTTCCTCTCTTATGTGATATTACGATTTGAGCTTTGGCACGTTATATTACTATATTATTTTCTCAAGGAAACCAACTGATGCGCAATGGTTTGTTTCGATAAAAAATTTCACCTCAAGAATTTCTTTCACCTCGAGAAATCAGATAGATGCTATTTTAATGATTATAGTACTTGATATTGTTGGATCCGTGGTTATCCTGTATTTGTAAATAATAATTCTGAAAAAAATAAAACGTTATCTTATAAACGTAAATTTAAATGATACAGAAATTAATTCGAGCCCACTGAATTTACAGTGTTTCCTTAAGGAATTTAATCCCCTCCTAGTACCCAAGGTTATAGATTATTTCCTCCCAGGATAGAACGAATTACACACTGGTGTAGCGGTACTTCAAACCCCAGTGTTTCAGCGAACACAAAGTTCGGCAGCAAATCACACTTATGGATGCTTTGTTTGTAGTTAAAAACAATGCAGAATAAGGAGGACAACTCAGAAGTCGAATGGAAATTTTGAGAGGAAGGAATGCAAAGTATAGCCAATGTTGAATTCTTACTGAAGAGAATATCAGATTGCAATTCGTTTTTCCAGTGTATATCCAGTATATATAAAGTGTATATCCAGTGTATACAGAGTGTATATCCAGTGTATACAGAGTGTTTCGAGTATTTTTTCCGATGTGTTCTTCTTTATCTCTAACTTATGCTCTATTTATAGCAGTTATTTGAGAGAAATCCGCTCCCTCCATGGTTCAACAAGCACTAGGCTATCATGAAGGAAGCACTTACATGGTGGAATGTACACTTGCTTGGTGGGAGGAGCACTTGCACCATTGTGGGAGGTGCACTAGGCTGCTTATTGCTTAGTGTTGCAACACAATACACGGATTGGAAAACATCTGTTACAAACACGGATTATATCACGTTAATATTCACTATTAACAAATAAATTTGGTCCAAAAAATTAATCAATCGATCGATCATTTGACCAAATCCGAATCCAAATCCCATTTCCCATTCACTCTAATTTTAAGACTATTTCATCTTAAACAAAAACTCAACAATCCCCCACATGAATGGGGAATGGCTATATCACGGAAGTATGCATGAAAAACTTGTGTGATTTGCAAACAAGAATTAATTGCATCTGGATAAGTAGGTTTCCCTTTGAACTTTCCGTAGTGAACTTATGTCGGATATACTCGGTCAATCGGTAGATTTGATATCTTTGAACCGTCGAACTTTAGTGTATACCTAGACAACCATAAGTCACACAATCAATCCCTTAACCGTCTTTGGTTCTCATTGTTGTGTTCGTTTCAGCCATGAACACTACCTGGTTTTATAAGTGCGTAGAGAATTGGCCTTGCAAAATTCTTTTTGAAGCGGCTAACACTTCACACTTACATAGGTGATTCCTAAACGTGTCATCTCGTAGATACACTATTTGATATACCATGTATCAAATTTAGAAATCATTAAAGAGCCTTAATGCTTTATCCTTGGTACTGAACATTGTCTCTCACGAGAATGGACTAAAAAATTTTGTTGACAATGTTGAACCGTCATTAATGACTTTGTTTGATCTCCTTGAACCTAGATCTTGGGATCTCCAGTCTTCTAGGTAGAGTTACCGCCACAATGACTTGTTCTCGGTCATAGTCACATTCTCCTCGATGATTTCTCAACTACCTCTCTAGTTAGGCCTTTTGTAAGTGGATCCGACACATTATCACTTGACTTTACATAGTCAATCGTGATAATTCCTCTAGAGAGAAGTTGTCTAATGGTTTTATGTCTTCGTTGTATATGACGAGATTTACCATTATACATAATGCTCCCAGCCCTTCCAATTGCCGCTTGGCTATCACAGTGTCTGCATATTGGTGCCAACGGTTTGGGCCAAAATGGAATGTCTTCCAAGAAATTCCGGAGCCATTCAGCTTCTTCACCGGCTTTATCTAAGGCTATGAATTCAGCCTCCATTGNAGTATGTATCAAAGTAGTCAAGACCTTCTCGTTGTCTATATCCTTTGACAACAAGTCTTGCCTTAAATTTATCAATAGTGCCATCATCTTTCATTTTTTTTTTTAAAATTCCATTTAACCCCCAAAGGTTTATTTTTAGGAGGAAGATCAACCAATTCCCATGTATGGTTGTTCAATATGGATTCTATTTCACTATTGACTGCCTCTTTCCAGAACAATGATTCCGAAGAAGACATAGCTTCTTTAAATGTTCGAGGCTCATTTTCCAATAAGAAAGTCACAAAATCTGGTCCAAACGAAGTAGACGTTCTTTGACGTTTACTACGTCTTGGATCCCCCTGATTAAATGTACTTTCTTTTGTTTCTTCCCGAGGTCGTTTAGATCCTTCACCAATCGACTCACATTCCTTTTTATACGGATATATATTTTCAAAGAACTCAACATTATCTGATTCTATAACCGTATTATTATAAATGTCGGGATTTTCTGATTTATGAACCATAAATCGATATGTTTTACTATTAGTCGCATATCCTATGAAAACACAATCAAC